CAGGTCAATATTCATACCACTGCCACGTGGCGGAAGAGATCGTATCAAACTGGCACTACTGGGAACATAAGCCATCTACCCATAGAGCAGGAGAGAGCAGCCAGGGAGACTCCACTGCTGTACAGGGCGCAAAGAAGTCTTCAGCTTCCTTGAACTCGCTACAGGCTTCTCCTAGTCACTACTAAGGAGTCATAGAAAAAACTAGGTCTGGAAGGGACCTCAGGAGGTCTAGTTTAGCCTTCTGTTCAAGACAGGTTAATTCTAGGGCCGATTCGATTCGGATGAGATTCGGCCCAATTCGGTGGCCGAATCTCCAAATCCGAATCCAATCATGAGACCAATAAAAAAGTCCTAATTGATTTGAAGCTCTCCAAATCTTTTCCAATGATTCACAGTCCCCACCCACTGCAACAGAGAACTGGAGCTGGACAGTAGGATGTGGGAGTCGGGGGTTGGAGGAGAGGGGAGGGGACCATGAAGGGACCCCTGCCAGGCCCCATCCCCTGCTTGCTCGCCCATCCCTTCCGAGTGCCCTCCAACCCCCAAAGTGCTGGGAGCTGGGGCGGGCAGGCAGTCATTGCTGGGCTGGGAGAGTGGGTGGGGGATGGGCCTGGCTTGCAAGATTCAGAGATTCGGCCAATTTGGCAGCAGCCAAATCGATTTGGGACAGCGATCTGAATCACCAAATCGAATCATTGTCCCCTGAATCGGCTGAATCCGAAGCTATTACTAGCTGCTTCACACAGGCCTATTTCATGCCTGCCTAAACCATCCCAGCCACATGTTTGTCTCACTTTAAACCAAGGTTAGACCAAGTATGTTCTGATGGAGACCGCACTACCCCTCCAGGTACTCTGCTGTGGTTCACCCTAATGTAAGCAAGTTCTTAACATCCAACCTTAATTTCCCTTGTTACTATTTAAAACCGTTTCATTTTGTCCCACCTCCTGTGGCTATAGGGAATAGTCCATCACCAACTTCCGTAAAAGAACCCTTCATGTATTTCAAGTCTCCGATCAGTTCTTTCATTAATCTTCTCTTTCCCAGACTAAAAAATCCCAGTTCTTCCAACCTTTCCTTGCATTTCATATTTTCTAGACTTCTAATAATTTTTGTTGTTCTCCACTGGACTCTTTCCAATCGGTCCAGTTTTTGGTTTTTTTTTTTTTTTTTTTTTTTTTTAAATGTGGTGCCAAAAACTAGACACAGTAATCCAGGCAAGGCCTCAACAGTGCCAAATAGAAGGGAAGAATCACTTCAGTGACTTGGATGCGAGATGGACTTGTTATTACCTCCCAGGATGCTATGGGCTCTTTTTGCAACAATAGTACACTACTGACATTCAGCTTGTGGTCCTCTATAACTCCTGGATCCTTTGCTGCAGTACGACAGCTTCACCAATTTGTTGCTGTGCATTTGATTCTTCTGTCCCAAGTCCAGTACTTTGCCTTTTTCCTTGCTGAATTTCAACTGATTCATTTTGGACTATTTTGCTAATTTATCAGGGTCATTTGGCATCCTAATTCTATGCTCCATAGAAAGGCATTTTCTATCCCGCTATGCTTGGTGTGATCTGCCAATGTATTAAGCGTACACTCAACTCCATCCTCAAAATCATTAATGAAGATATATTTAACTGTCCCAGACCCAGGGACCCCACTTGATACCTTGTCCTGCTTTGACACTGAAGTTATCAATGGCTACTCTTTGGACACGATGATCCAACCAGTTATGCACCCAGCTTCCAGTAGTTTCCTCTAGATTTTATTTCTTTACTTTACTTGTGAGAAAGCCATTGGAGACCATATACTTCTTTAGCAAGTGATTGGATATCACATCTACCACTCTCCCCTTATCCACAAAACCTGCAGATGTGATATACTGATTCACCTCAATTGTATCATAGTCCTAAGTCTGTTAGCAATGGGACTGGCATTAATTGGGGCATTTGTCCTTATTGTTCAGTTTTGATCTGTTATGTGGTGATGCAAGCTCTAATTATTTTGGCACAAGTTTCCCAATATTTGGCCATTTCAATAAATGCCTGGAGGGCTTGTTCTATGAGAATTGAATGAAAGACAGGAGTTACTTTCTAGCCCTCCCAGTTCCTGAAAAAAAAAAAAAGCTTGGAAACAAGGAAGGGGACCCTGTGGAGAAGAAAAGCTGCTGTGAAAGATGCTCTCTCCTAGGGCTGTGCGAAACAGCACTATTTCATTTCGACTTCCATTTCAACAGGACGTTGTTTTGTTTTGTTTTGAGTTTTGTTTCAAAACCACCGTCCTGTTTTGTTTCGCTGTTTCGATGTTTTGCCCATAGGCTATAGTGGGGAAGCATGAAACTGCCTATAAAACTTTGTCATTTCTTGCCTGATTAATCTTGCAGGGATGGTAGCCCCTTCTGAAGGCATGAAGCCTGCCCGTTTCCAAGGAGATAGGTGTAGGGGTTTCTGAGAAACTGCACTTCAAGCTGCAGACAAGCAAAACTCCTGACATGTGCAATCGTGTGCGTCTGTTAAGGTGCACCCTCACTGGTGCCTCTATATGACACTGAAGTGTGCCGCAATGAGGACTCCTCCTCCCCTATAGCCTCAGCCGGTCCACCACTTTAAATGACAACAGGTAACAACTTAGTAAGCAGCACAGTAGCACCCACAGCATCTCAGGCAGCCAAACCATCACAGTCGATGAGAGCAGTCCTTCCCTGCTTTTCCCGCTCCCTCTTCTTTCTTTGTTTCCCTGCAGGCAAGTCCAGCTTCAGCTTCGAAACGTTTCAACTGCCCTCGTTCTGTTTCAAGGCTGTTTTGAAACCCTTAGTTTCACTGAGCTCGAAACAGCATCAAAACGAAACGGATGGCAAAATTTTGCATGGCCCTACGCTCTCCTCTTACGCCCCAGCATCAGGAAGCCATTGGCACAACTGATTTAATTGAACTACTGGTTAGCTTGTGAACAATGGTCCCTGTGCCAGCAGATGGAGCTCTTTATATTAACGATCCTCACAAGCAAAGATGAAAATGGGCTGGGAAGATACAAATATTGTGGTTCAGGCCCTCCAAAAATGCGAGGGTATTTTTAATATTATTATTTTCATTTGTTCTCATTATCATTATAATATTCTGGGACTGTTTTTTGGTCTGCCTTCTGATTCTTAACCCCCCACCCCTGCCTTTGCACACACAGGGAGACACTTGTGCCCATTCTCCCAAGCACATCTAGGCGATTCTGGGTTGTTGGTTGCAACTGTGTTGGTCTAAGGACATAGGCAGACAAAGCTCTTTGGGTAGAGGTGATGTCTTTTATTGGGCCAACTAAGTAGCTTGCTAAGAACAATTTTGGCAGCTATGCTTATTAGACCAACCAAATGGTCTAATAAAGAGATATCACCTCTACCCAAAGAGCTTTGTCTGTCTAGGTGATTCTGACCCCCACAGCAGGACTGTTGCTCCCCAACCCCATGCACAGAGATTAGTTCAGTCTGCCTTTAGTTATGACCCCTAACCTCACCTCCGGTCTTCCTCCAGCCCCTGGCGTTCTTCAGCCATTCTCCTAGGTGTGGATGGGGCTGAAATGGGGTCCTCACTCTCTCTTTTAGGCTACTCCCGTTGCTCCCAAGAAGGTAGCTGAGCTCCCAGGAGGTTCAGGGGATAGGGAGGTAGGTGGTTGTTCTTCAGGTACCCTCTAGCCCACAGCCCCAAGAGAAGGGGCCCAAGCATTGCCAGCTTTATGAGCTGGTCTGATTAGCTGCTTTTCCCCAGGAGGTAGGGTCCTGGGGAAGCCAGAGGGAATTTACTTTAGGCAAGCCTGGGAAGTCAAGGGAGTTGGCAAGACTAACTTACATATGTCACATCAAAAAAATTGGTGGGGGGGGGGGGACAAACAAACCAAAAAAAAAAAAAGCCACATATAAAAACAAGAAACTAAACTAACAACAACAACAAAAAAAGTCAATCCATTTTGCTTGAAATTGTTGGTGAATTTTGGTTTCTCAATTAAAAAAAAACAGTTCTAAATGAAATCCTTAAGACATTTTCAGGTTTACTGCAGGGAGCAATGTTTCTGTTGCTCTTTTATTTCCCCTTCTTCCTTCCATCCTCTTTCCAGGGTTGGGGGTGAAGCGGCAAGTGAGAGAAACAGGTCTCTTTTGCTTTCACGTAAAAATTTGGTTGATGATTTTTTATTTATTTTTTTTTACAAAAATATAAACACACCAAAAAACCATACAAAAAACACACAGCCCCCCCCCCCCCCTTTTTTTTTTCTTTTTTCTTGCAGAAAGTATTTTCTATTCCTTCTAACCACGAACTGTTTCACTTAAAAAGCCTGCCTGGCTCTTATCCCGAGCTCCCATTAGGAGCATCCTCATAACAGTATGACTCTGTATTTAAATAGGAAATAAACCTCCAAGAGGCAGAGCAACACTATTACCGCATTTATAAGATGGGGAACCAAGATGAAAAAAAAAAATCCCGAGCAGTTTGCCCAATGTCACACAGGAAGTCAATCACCCTTCAATTGGTCACAGGCTGGTACGTCTGGCATCATCTCATCAGAGAGCAGAGGTTCAACAACACGAATAGCACTCCCGAGCCTCGCAAAATTTAGACCGTCAGGGAGATGCAAAATTTCGTGTCCTTTAAAACACAATCAGTAATGGGAGAAGAGAGGCCAGGCATTTAAGAAGTACCGGGATCTTTAAGATGTGGAACAAAAAGTTGTATAACTTCTTACACACAGCCCCACCAACACTTCCTGACAGGAAAACTAGTGGGTACCGACAGGGCTGAGACATCAGTGCCAAAACCTGTACGGTCTTGAGATAACACTGAGATTGTAGAACAATTTTATAAAGGACCGATTCAAAATTACCAGTCTCATACAATGAAAAAAATCACATCAGCCTCCTGCCTGCTTTCCGCCCCGACAAATCGTGAGATTGACTAAAAAGCATCAAACGTAAAAAGCATAATTTTTTTTTTTAATTGACTTGATTTATGAGCCTGAGGTTCACATTTACAAACTTTTCTCCACAACCCTAAAGGCTAGAAACATACTTTTGTTTTAATGGCAACAGAGATTCTTAAATAACCTGATTCCAGGAGCTGGGGTTTTAAGGGGACCCCCCCCCCAAAAAAAAACACTTTAAAGGCATTTCAAATTAAGCATCTGGCAATACTCCCAACTAAAGAATAATAATTTGCATCTCAGGTTTCAGCCATGGAGGCATTATGCCAATTCAAAGGCATTTAAGGAGGGCCTGGCTGGGCAGCTAAATCAACTTTGAGGATCCGGATCCAAAAGATTTTAGAAATAATAAAAAGGAGTTTCATCCTCACAACCCCTCAGGATTTTTAGATTCTCATTTTACAGATGTGGGGACAATGTGGCACTGAGGTTTTGACCCAAAATCTCTTTAAAGAAATATTAGTACCTCTTCTTCCCCACCCTGCAGGGTCGTTTCTACATGCAGAGTAGGAGTGCCTCCCTTCTCAGCTCCATTGTTTTAGGCAACTTTTCTTCTGGAGTCTAAATGTTGTTTGCAGCAACGCCCTTTGCTCCCCACCTCCACTACCATGAGTCATAAGCAGGGGTTGTTCAGCATCTGGAGTATGCATCTCTCTCAGCCGAGTTACAGACTTGCACAGCCGCCTTATCTTCTATATGCAGGAATCATTAGACGAGGGCATGAGATGCAGCTATCAGTGCCTGCGGCTGGTAATGGTGACTGTAGTTACCATAACATTATCAAAGTTATCTGGGGGAGAAGACAAAAATCATAGAGAAAGGATGGTTGGAAGGGACCTCAGGTCACATTTAGTCCGCCCCCCTGCTCAAAGCAGGACCAACCTGAACTAGATCAGCCCACCCAAGGCTGTCAAGCTAGACCTTAAAAACCTCCAAGGATGGAGTCCACCACCTCTCTAGGTAACACGTTCCAGTGCTTCTCCACCCTCCTAGTGAGAAAGCTTTTCCTAATATCCAACTTAAACTTCCCTTGCTGCAACTTGAGACCGCTGCTACTTGCTCGGTCATCTGCCCTCAGAGAACAGTGCAGCTCCATCCGCTTTCAAACCCCCCTTCAGGCAGCTGAAGGCTGCTATTAAATCCCCTCCCAGTCTTCTCTTCTCAAACCTAAATAAGTCCAGTTCCTTCAGCCATGTCCCCCAGTCCCCTAACCATTTTTCTTGCCCTCCGCTGGACTGTCTCCAACTTGTCCACATCCTTTCTGTAGCGGGGGGCCCAAAACTGGACACAGTACTCCAGATGTGGCCTCACCAGTGCAGAATAGAGGGGAATAATTACTTCCCTTGACCTGCCGGCAATGGTCCTACATCCTGCGCTGTTGCCTTTATTCTACACACCCACCTGGGTAGGTCAGGGCACTGGCAACCAATTCTTAGATGTTTCTTCTCTCAATCATTGGTTTGTGTCTGATTTTGCTGTTGCAGCTAAAAGCTGTCCTTGCCAGAGGCCCATTTGGAAAAAGTGTTGAAAAGCCTTACTCCCTGTCCAAATGGGTGAAAACCTATTTACAGAAAATGACAATGCCAGTGGCATGAGCCAGTCTCTGCTCTAGTAGCTCTAAACTTCCCTCTTGCCCTGGCATCAAATATGCTTCCAGTGCCAGCTGGACTGGTTAGGTAAGTTGGCCTCATTCACGTGGATGGAGCAGAGTTGGCCGACTCGCACATCCCAGAGAGCAGCATGCTGGTTGGAGGTGTGAGAGATGCAAGGTCAAATCCCTGCTCAATCTTGTCAAGTCATTTAGGCCCAGATCCTCAAAAGTATTCACGCGCCCAACTTCCCATTGCTTTCGGTGGGAGTTAGGCATGCCTTGGAGGACCTCACGTCTTTGTGCCTCCATTCCCCATCTGTAGGAAGGAGTTAGCATTTAGCAACACATCCCTAGACCCACGAAGGCATTAATAATGACTGAGGCACTCCTCAGGTGGCACAGCAGTGCGGGCCACACCAACACCCATGACAACTCCAGTTCCAAGTGGTGGATCTTTTCCTCGTGTCCCAGTCCCTTTTTATTCACTATTTGTGAACTTTGATGCAAGTGAGTTTGCATTGCATGCATGCTTGGCAGTGGCTGGTCTTTACTGGAAACCCTGCATTTGCCACCCACTTTCATTTTGAACCCCTCTTCACCAAGTCAGTCTTTGGGAAGCTGAGCCCAAGTGATTTACCCAACGCCACCCAATGATGGACTCGTTGGCAAGGCCAACAGGGTGAGTCAGGAGGACTGTCTCTCTGTTGTAGTTACTACATCAAACTGGCACTCGCCTCAGTAGTGTAGACAATAGTAGTATGGTCATCTCAATGTGTTATTCTCTCAGCACCCAATGCAGTATTCCTGGCTTTTTTTAAATAGTCTTTTTCTTTTTAATATATTGACACAGAGAAGTGTTTGGACAACTGCTTACAGAAAGCACTCCTATCCCTGGGCTAAGCAGCCTTTAGCACAGTGGGGGGGAACCAGACCTCAATTGACAATCCTAGGTACCATCATAGCATAAATAACTATAATAAGAATTGAATGCAATTTAATAACCAAAATAGCATGCTTTTAACCTCAGAACGGAGGTGCGCTGATGGAACCGAATGCAAAGAACAGCCCCTGCTTCTCCTTTTCCTTCCCATGGTGCATTCACACCAAAACATTAAACTAAGTTAAGCAGTTTTCAATTAAAATTACACAAACTTTACTCAGAGTAGAAGCAGTATCTTTTATTAGACCAACTAGATTTTTGCAAAAAAAAAGTCTTTACTAACTTTGTAGGGAGAGTCCCCAGCATTGCATAGACTGGGACTCTGAAGCCTTGAAGCAAAGTGGATTTTTCCTGTGGTTGTACTTTGGGTCATTAATCATTTAGTAACAAATCTGAGGGTATTTGGGACTTCACAACTGTTTTTATATTGCACTGCATGGTTATTCAGAATTTCAGGGGGCAAAAATTCAGTTTTCAGCTTTATGGCACCCACACCATACGGTGATGACAACTTTTAATTAGTTATTAAGCTAAAGTTTTACCAGCTCTACGTTCATAAAAAAGCTCCTAGGAAAAACACTTTCTTAAAAAAAAAATTGAATGAAAGAGGATATTTTTATTTAAAAAGGGTCATCAAAAATAGTTGTTCTACATTTTTTGTTGATTTAGGCTTTCCCCCGTTCCTTCACTTTTTTAGTTTCTGCAAATATCCCCCCTTCTTCCGATTGCAGAAAAGCAGCAACAATCAAAAACCAAAACAGAGACTATGCTGGCAAAGCATTTTTTTTTTTTTTAAATCAAGAAACAGAATGAAAATTATAATTTCATTCTGAAAAAATCTCATTGCAAAATTTAATTGAAAGTGCACTAGGTAAGAACGTCTGATTTTTGCAACTGAGTCATAACGTAACGAACAGTAGCGTGTTGAGCATTTCCTAAAGCTAGCGATAATCTTTTCCTTTTGTAAGAAAGAACTAAGAAATCCAAACCCTTTTGTTAAGAGAGAGTCCTGATAAGATCTTGCTGCTGCTTACTCAGTCTTGCACAGGAAAAGATTAGACGCTTTTAAAGCCCGGGTTTAATTTCATAATGGAATATTATAAAATTGGCAGAATTACAGGGAATGTGAAAGAAAACCAAATTCTGTTCCAGAAGAGAAATGAGCAGCAGTGGCCATTATGGATGGACAATCTGGCTTCTAAAAATGTGCCCATTTCTAAGACTTCAAATTCTTTCCTTTAATGCTTCTGCAGTGGCAGAGTGTTTATTTATATTATACAGGAACCAGGAGACCCAGACAGACGAGCTCCATATATATATATATACATACATACATATATATACATATATATACACATACACACACACACACACACTTGCATCAGTTTAGTTAAGTCCATTTAGTTAAACCAATGCAAAGAACCGTGTGGATGCTCTGATTTCCCTTTGAAGTGCAGCTACTTTCCCATGTAGGCAAGACCTTAGCAGGATACAAACCCTGGTGCAAATGGCTTACAATAAGCAGACAAAGGAAAGCGAGATCAAGGGCCCCAAACTCAATGAGGGATCAGATCCAGATTGGCAAACAGGACTTGCACAGCATTTAGGTGCCTGAAACACAAGATGCAACCCTGAATACTTCCACTCCAGCAGCCCCAGAACTCTTGACTTGCTTAAATTCATTGGGGACCTACATTTTGCATTGCTAAAGAGCCTAAACATAAGTGGCCCTGCAAGCCCTCTTGTCCGAGCTAGGAGTCTGGTTGCCGAGATGCGACAATCAAGACATGAGGTGCAGAAGCACCTGCCTATGTCCCCAGATTAGTCCAAACCACTAGGTGCTCTCCCAACACTTAAATCACTGCCCGGGAAGCAGGAGACTTGGATTCTAGGCCCTCTTCCTCTTGGAGGGATTCAAAACCACATGCATGACCTGCCCAGGCGAGGACCCTAACCACCTGGCTGCAGAACAGAGTGGGGCCGGCACCATGCTCCAATGCTTTGCACACGACCAGGGTTTTCCTTTCCCAACCAGGTTTAATGATAGGTGCTCTGCAGAACGCATACATAGCATCACCTCAAAAGCAGCTTGCAGCATCCACGTTAGATGCGACACCAGGACTCGCCGTAGCAGGGAGCAAAGGCACCTCATTTGAGGCATATGGAGGTTTTGCTGATTATTGTAATAACTGGACATCTTCCAGGGGAACAAGAGACAGAGGGAGTGGAAAAAATGAAGAGTCTGAGGGAGGAAATGTCAAAGGAGAGAGGATAAGTTTATACAGCCCCCACAGCAGTGGTTCTCCACTGGGGATGCCACAGTGCCCTGGGGTCCCATGAGATCCCATTAGGGGTGCTGTGCCACTTGGCCAGCTAGTCTGACAGCACTTATGGCTGCTTATTCCTCTCATACTCTCCAGGCTGGCAGGAAGGACCACAAGGGTGGTCCCCAGCATGCAAGATCCCACAGGGGCAGCCTCAGCCACAGGTATCCTCATCTCCCCCAAGGTACAGACCAGGGCTGAGGAGGGGAAAGACGGTGGAAAGACTAGGGTATGGCAAGGCGAGGTCCTGCCCCTGCCACCCTTTCGTGTCACCAACTAGATTAGTGATTATCAACTTTTTTTAGCCTCAAGGTGCTCCTCTGCATCTTTTTTGAATATTTGCAAAAAACTCAGAAAAGTTCTGGAGGGGGTGCCTTGAGGCTAAAAAAAAGTGAGAACCACTGCCCTAGGGTAACTGGGCCTGCCTTGGCTACAGTCCTCAGGTGCCAGCAAATATAAAAAGCTAAAATCAATCAACATCATCATCATATGGCATTGTCCAGGCACCATCAGGAAGATGCCAAGCAGGGACTCTAGCTTCACTGCAAAAAGTGAAGACAACCAGGTGCTACAAAGTGAGTGCCGACTGCGAGGCAGCAAAATTGGCTGTGCAGCTGTGGAAGCCTTAAGAGCACTAGACGGGGAATGAGCCATCCCATACCTTCAAGAAGTTGCACTCATGGATGGTGAGGATTCCCAAAAAGGTCTTGTGAGCAAACACAGCCTGTCGTGTACTATACACGTGCTAGCACATAATGCACTCAGGATGTCAGTGCTATTTAGTTTTAAAAGACAAGAAAAAAATAGAAGGTGGGCCCTCCTGTGTGAAGAGTACAGCTTAAGGAGTCACGAGTCTTGGCTTACATTCCTGGCTTTGCCACTAACTTATGTTAAAAATCGGGTGCAGGATGGTTTGCAGAGCAGATTGAATTAGT